ATTAACATGTTTAAGTAACTCCTTAGAATCTTCTTGCTGTTGCAAAAAGGAACGAACTAATTCTAAACTCTTTATAATATCATTGGCATTGACTATTGCCAGTTCAGTACTGTCATCAATTTCATCAATTTGAATGTCTGATGATTTTTATGCAAGTCAATAAGTCTAGCAAAGATGTTAGAATGTATTTGGGCAGAAAATTCGCATACTACTCACCACTTTCTTTCACAGACGATTACAATATTCTTTATCTATCATTAATTCTTTATTTACTTGTTAACACTATTATAAGATCGAACTCCCCACATGTGTTATGCTAAATTTCTTTTCTAGTACCACTTGACCCTTTATGGATGATTTTGACCTCTATTTGGGCGCTGATCTTACTATTTATAGGAATAGCTCGACCAAAATCCCGCTATTTATGGTTAAAGATCGACCTAAAAGTGGGGGTTGTTCTTATATATATATTATTAAAGCATCAGAATGATAACTTTATCCTGTGAAATCAGGCCCTTGGGCAACTCTATGAGTCATAAAGTACCAGTTACAGCTATATTAGATTCCGGTGCTAATTGTAATATTATAGGTAAGAGCTTAGTAGATGAGTTAGGTTTGGAAATCAATGATATCTCTGATACAGAAATATACAGTCCTATTTAGCAAGCTCAATATATTGGAAATAATTCGTGCAATAGCGATTTCAATCCTGTCTCAATACCATAAGCAAGAGCAAGTAGAAGTCACTGATGTTTTCGTTACCGATGAGCTTGAATCTATACTGATATTGGGTCAGTCATGGTTCCAGGAAAATGTAATGGAAATGGACTTCCCAAATAAAACTCTTACATTGCTCAATGGAACTAGTTACGAGGTTATGTGTAATTGAAAATATTCAGAAAATGCGTAGTATATGTGCCCAAAGTTAATTATCCGAACATTAGCTGTTTTTTCTGATAAAGATGTATAATATACATTTTTGATAATGGTGCAACTATTGCGAAGCAATGACCCAAAGGGTCTAAATATTTTTGATTTACCAAAATTACTAGAACAGATCTTATATTTTTTAGAAATCGATCGATCCCTCTATCCTACTTTATTTGTTAACCACTTTTGGTATCACTGCGGTGCTCCTATTCTGTGGCGTCGCGTTGAGTTTTTCAACGAAGATTATAAAAATTGCGAAATTTTCTCCGAAATTACAGCATCTGAGTCTTAATTCATGTATATGCCTCACTAATCGATGTATCACTTAAATTACTCGCTCATGCCCAAAACTTAGACATCTTGAGCTTGGCAACTGTTCGATTACAAAATAATAAAGCTGTCGAGGAAATAGCCCGCAACTGTAATAATTTGAAATATCTTAGTTTGGAAGGATGTAAAGGGATTAGCAAAGTGGTAAGAAACTTAATTCAAAAGTTAAAATTAAACATCCAGATTATTCTGATGAAAAATGGTCTGATCCACCTATTCTAATTCTAATCTTTAGAGGTCTATCATTAGATAGATTAGATTTAATTTCCGCAATCAATAATTATATCAAAGAGACTGGCAGGATTATTCCTAATCATTCATTATGGTTTACAAATAATTTTATTTAGTAGTGGAGAATGGGTAATTATTTACTGAGTTGTTTTTTTCCTGATAATATACATCATTAAATAATATTACAGAAAGCGCATTATTTTGCTTATAAAAAAATAGAGCGAGTAATCAGGTATTTGACAGCCTCCAGCTAATTTCAAATGAAGAATTTTATTTGCCATGATGTATATATATATCTGTGATAATTTTTCTTGTTTTACTTTTGATTTTAGACATGGACATTGATCGATATTAGCTGATTTTTTGATGAAAACCTCATGTAATTGTTGAGGGGAAACATTTGAAAATAATAGTAGTCCCTCACCAGTAAACCAAAATTTCTTTACCCCTATATCAACGAATTTCTTTATTAGCACACCTGGATTATCTTCTAAGGGACCGTGGAATTTCTCAAACTTTCAGAGGTACACTCTCACATTTTATCAGCTTTTTCTGCCATTTCTTGATTAGTATAGACAACAATACTGATTTTTTCCTGAATTGTCACTATATCGTCTTCTAAGCATAAAAGCAAATCAAATAATCTAATTGGTTTATCTGAAGAGACTTTATCCCTTCTAAGGGCTGCCTCCAAACAGGATTGATATCTATACCAAGTTTTCCCTGTATAGGTATTGAATTTCCCACCAATTCTAACAACAATTCATATAAACCAGCAAGTGTTTTTCCATCAGGCTCGTGTTCTATTTGCTTTAACGTATTACTATCAATACCAAGGTTTTCTTGAATTGCTATCCTTCTTTTTATATAAAAGTACTCCGTATAAATGAGCACATGTTTCGCTTTGATTGGACTTATTATTAGTACTACTTATCATAATTATTTGCTATAATAAAATATCTTGACTAGTTGAATATACTTAATGCAGAAAATATATAAATTAAGTGAATATAGCAAATTCAATCTGAAAATAATTATAACTGCGAAATTACATCACGTTACAATGAGCATCAAGGGAGCAATGTCATATACCCCGATGTCCCATTATTCGTCCATCCAATCAGAATAATTAAAAAACCGGAAATTATTAACCAATCGGAGATCAGCATAGAAGTATTTCAGAGAAATGACACAGTCTCGTAAAACATGCCAAAAAGCCCGTAATCTCATATTTATCCGAAGTTTGACCATGTCCTGCTCCGCAGACCTACATTTCCATTGCTATATGCTTTAACCGTTACTATTGAATTTTGATAAGCCTCCCAGCGATATTGACATAATCCCACGATCACCCAATCAAAATCAATTTTGAGTTGTACTACGAATATTATATGCAATACGTACAGAATTACTGTACTTTTATTATCACTATAATCATTTTGGGCGCAACTCGTGATTATCATTTCAAGTATGATCTGTTCAGCTGTATCTATTTCAGG